TTTTACTTGTATTTCTATGTTTATTTTTCAATGTTTGTAGAGACAAGGTCTCGCTAAGTTGCCCAGGCTGTTCTTGAACTCCTGGGCTCAAGCAATTCTCCTATCTCGGCCTCCCAAAGTGCTGGGATTACAAATATAAGTCACTGTGCCCGGCCCAAAAAGTAAGTTTTAAAGAACTGTAGAATAGGTTGTACATATAAAATCTTCTCCAAGTCTGTACAAGACATGATTATAACACCAGAAATGATTACTTAATACATAGTTTCATTAAGTAATGAATAACTTGGGTCTACATTTAGATAAGAAAGTCAAATTCCAGAAAAGTTTATATGGGGACATGCTGGTTTGCTCCTAATACATCCATCCCAGGTTAGAACAGATGAAACCCTCAGACCCACTCAGAGAGGGACACCTTCATCTTCACACTGATGTGAGCCAGGCCAGCACTGGGGCTACAGCAACAGAAGCAACACCAGGACAAAAGTGATGAGACTTGACTATGTGTTTTATTCAAGCTGAGCAGCTACAAATGAACAGGATGCATAATCTTGAATACATTTAAAAAAATGTATAATTAGCTGGGAGCGGTGGCTTATGCCTATAATCCCAATGAATTGGGTGAAAGCTGGGGCAGGAAGATGGCTTAAACCCAGGTGTTCAAGGCTGCTGTGAGCTATGATCATGCCACTGCTCTCCAACCTGGGCAAGCCTGTCTGTGAAATAAAAATAAATAAATACATACATGCATATATAAATACATAAATTTGTTCTTTAACATTAAAGGGCTGCTTTGGACAGCAGTTGGAGATACATTTAGAGTTACTGAGAGGGGCATTTTCCTATTCATCATACTCTTTTTTTTTTTTAACCCTGCTGCTGCTGCTCTTCCTTCCTCCACTGCTGCCTTTTTTTTTTTTTTTGGTTAAAAGTCTAAGCCTAGTGTCTTAACTATAATGGTATCTGCCAGAACAAAAGTCAACAAACTCACAGGAGACAAAAGACATTCTTGATTTGATTGCTCCTAATAAACTTTCAGTGCTTCCAGACCACATAATGTCATAGAATTATTTGTAATACTTCTTTAAAAGGGTGACAGGGTTCAGAAATAAACTATACATGGTAAGAAGAGCCTCCCATGGGTTATCCCTGCAAAATGAGTTGCAAGGCTTTGGGAGTGGTGGTGGTTTCCGGCCATTAGCGTTACTAATCAAGGCCAGCTTTGCATTTATGGGAATCTACACAAATCAGGATGATACATGCCATGTTCACTCAGTCAACCTTGCCTGACTTCTTCAAGGTTATGCTGAAACAAAACTTTACTCCAATCATCTTTGATTGGAATGTTTCATTAATTGTATATATCCTTGAGATAGAGATAGACCATGAAGTCGATGCATTAGGTCCATGGGTCACAGAATCATATTTTGTGCTTCGTGCTCACATAAAGCAATTACTGTCAACTCTCAGTTAACCTTGTTACTGGAGGAAGCGTTAATGCAGAAAATACGAATCCTAGATAGCCCACCCTGTCTTTGCTTATTGCCATGGTTACAGCTGAGGGGAGAGGAGAGAAAGAGAGGCAATGGGAGCACCAGGGAAAGCTTAGGGCCACAAGGTCTCTTCAGGAAAATTTGTGCAGAGGTGATAAATCCAGCCTCACTCTTTGCCCTCTTTTTATGCCCAGTGCCATTTTGCCTGCACCATGCAGCAAAAATAACATTACTTTTCTGGTAAACTTCTGATGGACAAATAAAAAGTGTGAGGCAGAGGAAGCCAGCAGACAGCAGCCAGCAGCCAGGGAAGCACTCCGAGAGGCTGGCAGTCCCCTGACAGTCAGGTGGCAGAGCAACAGAGGCCTGTGGGAGGGTTCAAAGTCAAGGCCCTGCACTTCTACCTCAGGAGGCTCCCCTGACATAGGAAAGGTGCTTGGGTGCTTTAGGATTTTGGCTGTATCAACCAAAATGATAAAGATATGCACTTATAAATGCTATCACACATCATATGCTGCATGATAAGCATTTTTATGCTACAAATTCCTACAGGTATAATTGTGTTCCCATCAGTTCCCAGGCATTAGTGCTGTTCTGTCCATCTGATGTAATAAGCCCTCAAGCTGGGCATGTCCCTCCAGGTTCAGAGCCATAGGAAAAGTAGAATGGATGCCTAGTCAAGTGATTCCTCATGGCATTGCTCCAGGGAGGGTTTGCATTTTCATAAGGAAGAAAGTCCCAAGCCATAGGAATAATTTATATTTGGATTCTATAGGTCCTTTGGAGCAGTTGGGAGATATGAAAAAAGCAATAGAGGGATGGGGGAAACTCTGAAACCACAGCCAAGACATGGTACCTTAGAAAGGAAAGTTGGGAGGTAACCTTAGCAAAGAAAGGTGAAAGCCATAAAATTAAATGCTTTGGTGAAAAAGTATTTTGAGTTAAAGTATTTATAAAGAGCCACCTTCATATCTTCTGTAAATATGACTTTGCAATAAAAGTAATAGGTCTGGAAAGAAGTGATTCATTAGGTTTTGAGGGGAGCACAAAAGGAATTTCTGTGTACTAAAGTGAGAAATCTGGGGGAAATAGATACAAAAAGTCAAACGACAGAGTAAGATAGAAACAGAGGAAACAGTAGAAAATATAAGGTGGTTTCTGGAGGATATCGATCAAAATTCTTAATATGAGAGAGAGAGAGAAATTTCTTTGAAAGGAACCTCAGAGAGTTCAGGAATAATAAGAGACAAGTAGCTATACAGGGAAATATGACTCAGTGACTCACAATAACAGAGAAGATTATGAAAAATGGAAATAGTGTCCACAAAATATTAGTGGGCCAAAAAATGGTTAAAAGAAATCAGTGAATTGCACATCTCTGATAATTCACTTATTCTTTAATTTCTTCTTTGAATGTAGAGCACTGATGACCTCTATGTACCTGGTGGCATGAGAGGCCCCAGGTGGAAGGCTGAGGCTGGTCTTGCGGTTAGAGAGCTTACCAACAGGGACAGGTGCACACACGGGTCATGAAAGTAACGCTGTGACTTCCGGTTAAAATGTGGGAGAGGTGGGGTGGGAGTTTTTAAAGACATAGGCAAAAACAACAAAAATAGTGAAACATGGAGGAAAATATCAGATGCAATAAAACAAACAAACAAACAAAAAGGCTACTCCTCATTTTACAAACCATGAAGCATACATGGGCTAATTTTGGGAAGGACACTAAAAGGTGATAAACATCTCAAGTCTAAAACAGGTGCAAAACATTTCCCCCAGAGGAATGTAAAAAATGTCCAAAGGGCATGTGCAATGCACTTCTGAGGAGAATGGCGAGATTTAAAATATAAGTCATAATTCTCCTGTACAGACACAACTTGACACTACATCACAGAAGAGGAGGTGGAGATAAGAGAACACAAGTTGATACCATATTCCTATTTACTTTTTAATTGTTAAAGACTTTCGGAGACGATGATGCTCTTATAGAAATTCCAAAAGAGTAAGGATTAAAGTAGAAAAAAAGTATATTTATATAATACATACAATTAATGTCATATATTATATAATTAATATACACATACACACAGACTTCGATTTTTCTAACTAATTTTTTTAGGCAGAAAGACTACGTATTTATACTTTATGCCAATGGGACTTTTCTCTGAGATGACTATTCTGATAGGAAGTATTTGAGTTTTATAAGGCAAGTCCCAATAAGGAAGTATGATATTTAAACATTTAATATTTAGCTCTGTTAGGTGAAATAAAAGAATTTGAGAGATTTGCTACCTGGCTTCAATCTGAGCAGTCATTCATTTAGGTTTTCAGAAGACAAGGATGAAGGAGTGCAAAACAAAGTGTGACCAGATTATAATGCTCCCCTGGACATTGTGCTGCTCTCAAGAGCGAAGACTATTTCACCCAAGAATATAGAGCACATACTAAAAGCATTTCAGTGAAAATCTGGGCTGATACTAATTGGTCTTAGAGCAAGCATGCAGAAGCCTCTGACACACACAGACCTGACAAATATGAATAAGTGTCATGGGAAGGATTTATGAACAACTTTCTGACTCTTCCTACAACGGACTTGGGGCTTGGTGCATGTGAGCCCATATCACTGGGACTTCTGTTTTTCCAGAAATCAGTTGGCAAATCAAAGGTCTGAATTTGAATTAGGTAACACACTCTTACATAGCCTCACAATTTGAGATACACAGGAGTTATCTCATTCTTCTCCTGGCTATACACAGGTTAAAAATCTATAGAGTCTCAAGCGGCCTTTAAAAAACATAGTTTATGTGCAGACTATGGAAAATTAACAGACTTCTGAAGGAAGTTGAGCTATGGAAAGAATCTAACTGAAAATAATGAAAATCAATAAAGCCAGAACAGACCCAAACATTAAACAGCATTTACTTAAGTGATGATAGCTAATGGCACAGTTGGGTAAGTGAAGAAGTATGAGCTAATGCTGATTTCCTCCCAAGTTCAAAAATACTAGAATGGTCAACCCAAGTACCACACATTTCAAGCTTGGGCTTCTTAAGAGCTTGTTACGGGCTGAATTGTGTTCATTGCAAAATTCAAATGTTGAAGTTCTAACCCCTAGAATCTCAGACTGTGACTGTATTTGGAGATTGGGTTTGTAAAGACATAATTATAGTTAAATGAGGTTATTAGGAGGTTCTAATCCAATATGATTGATGTCCTTATTAAAGGAGGAGATTAGGGCACAGACAGACACAGAGGGAAGAGCAGGTGAAGTAGTGAGAAAGCACCATCGATAAGTCAAGAAGAGATCTTGGAAGACACCAACATTGCCAACGCCTCGATTTTGGACTTCCAGCCTCCAGAACTGTGAGAAAAATAAATTTCTGTGGTATTGGCAGACCTGTCAAACTAATATAGAAACCTCCTGTAATTAACCCCTTTTTTGTTCTCTGAGCAGTCTGAAACAAGACCCAAGTTTCTTTTGTGGCTAAATGCATTCTACATTATACTCACAACCCCAACAGGAAAGGCCAATACAGCTAATATCCAGTCGCGGAGAGAGATGAGCTTCTTGAGCTGCCTCTCTTGCTCTTGGTTCCCACTGCCTCTTGTTAGAAGACTGGAAAGATCAGTCAGCACACAGATGCCAAAAAAGACTGCCTGGATAACCTGTAGGGAGACAACAGTCAGTATTAGTCAATAAGATCTAAAGGGATGCAAGCTGTGGAATAGCAAACAAACTTCACGTTTACAACATGACCCATGATAGGAAAGGATCAGAAGCACATTTACAGAGCTGCTCCTACAAATAGAAAATGGTAAGACGTTTACAACTTGCTATTATAGGTAAGAAAATTTCATCTTAAAAACACTACTTCCATTTTCACTCACCTCGGGGCAGTACAAAACATGCAAGCACACACTTGTCTAAATAGGCCCAGCAGAAAGCAGTATCAATTATCAAACTGGAATGTTCATATTTTAAAAGCATCACATCTGTGGTCTGCTTATAGCAACTAATAAGGTTTCACGAACATCTAAGAAGCAAAAACAAAAGGGTGAGGGTAGTCTGAATAATAAGACAATTCAGTCTAAATGTGAAGCAACCTTCCCTATGCATAATTTCTTAGACATATTTCTACCAAAGGAAGTGGTAAAAAGCTGGTTCTGGTGTCATAAAGAAATCAACTGAATACAATAATCAAGATTCTGAGGCCAGGCTCGGTTGTTTAGCCTGTAATCCCAGCACTTTGGGAGGTCGAGGCAAGTGGATTGCCTGAGCCCGTGGGTTTGAGACCAGCCTGGGCAACTTGATGAGACCTCGTCTCTACAATAAATCAAAAATTAGCCGGGCATGGTAGCATGCACCTGTAGTTCCGGCTACTTGGAAGGCTCAGGTAGAAGGATCACTGGAGCCCAGCAGGTCGACACTGGAGTGGCTGTGAGTGTGCCACTGTACTTCAGCCTGGGCGACAGAGTGAGACTCCAACTCAAAAAAAAAAAAAAAGACTCTGACATAGAACAATTTTGTTGTCAAGCCTGAACCAAATGATCTCCTCCTCAGGTTTTCAGTATTTACAAAACAAAATCTCTTCAAAGTAATAAAAATATAGATACATCATTTTCCTCAAAAAATTACCAGTTGTAAATTCCCAAATCAATTATAAATGAAACCACATACATCAGCCATGCCTACTTGAACTATCATGGGGGAGAGTAGTGCAGGCAGAATATTGTAATACAACTAGGCAGATGAGAATTCAAATTATGGAAAGGGCAGAAAATGTATTCCCTGGGCTCAAACTCATACCATTTAGCACCTAAGACAGATTCGAGGGGAATTTTCTGGCTGCTTCTACTGGAAGTAATTTACTGATGATATATTTGTAAAGATACAGTTTTACTTATTACCTCTTTGGAAAACATAGTAAGTACTTTTTTGGTAAATTTCCATATTGGCGGTGAAAGCAGTCTGAAAGCTCTGTGCATGGGTTCCTCACAAGAGAAGAAGGATCCTAAAAAGTACCTGCTTTCATCCCTTAGCATAACACTGCAACACTCAAATGGTTAACCTAGGTTTTTTAAAGCTCGCTAAATCCTGCTGTTATTAGTATTAGCTAGAGTCCTGCTCTATGTCTCCCCATAATTTAACCTGTCTTTAGTGTCAATCACTTAAGATTTATTGCCATTCTCTCTACTACCAGGGTAGGAGAAAGCTGAAATTGCCACAACTGAGAATGACACAAGGAAAATGTTGGCAAGAATCATGGATTGATAACCAAAAATAACTTAAATGACTCAGGTAATAATTTCATACTTAGGAAAATTTTCTATATCCTATCTTAGGACTCTAGATGTTTAAAACTCTGTTGGCCCTAATGGAGTTTGAAAAATTGGAGTGATCATATTGGGGAATAATAATCTCCTATCAATCTGGCCAGAAAACAAGGTGACCAATAACCAGGGAAATGCAAATTAAGACCACAATGAGATAGCATTTCTCATCAGTATAATTATTTACAATTTAATTCTGACACACCAAATGTTACAAGAATGCAAAATAACCAGAAAGCTTATGGTGGGAAGGCAAATCTGGACAACCACTTAGAAAAACAATTGACAATATCTAAAGATGCCCCTTAACTTATGATGGGGTTATGTCTCAATAAACTCATTGTAAATGGAAAATATCATTAAGTTGGAAATACATTTAATGTAAGTAACTTACCAAACATCAAAGCTTAGCTTATCCTACTTAAAATATGCTCTGAACACTTACACTATAGCTGGGAAAAGTCATCTAACACAAACTGTTATCTTATAATAAGATATTGAGTATGTCATGCAATTTATTGAATACTTTATTGAAAGTAAAAAATAGAATGGCTGTCTGAGTATTTAAAGTATGATTTCCAGGGGTATCCAAATAGGAAAAGACGAAGTCAAGTTATCCCTCTTTGCTGCTGATATGATCCTATACCTTGAAAATCCAAGAGACTCTGTCAAAACCCTGCTTGCACTGATAAAGGACTTTGGGAAGGTCTCAGGATACAAAATAAATGTGCAAAAGACAGTTGCATTCCTCTAAATCAACAACAAACAGACAGAGAACAGTCCCATTCATAATAGCCACCAAAAAAAATGAAATACCTCGGCATCTTCCTAACCAGAGAAATGAAAGACCTTTACAATGAAAATTACAAAACACTGCTTAAAGAAATCCATGAAGACACAAACAAACGGAAAAATATTCCATGTTCATGGATAGGAAGATCAACATTGTTAAGATGTCCATCCTTCCAAAGGCAATCTACAGATTCAATGCAATATCCATTAAACTACCAACATCATTTTTCTCAGACCTGTAAATGACAATACAGAAATTCGTATGGAAACATAAATGACCACGAATAGCTAAAACAATCCTTAGCAAAAGAAACAAAGCAGGAGGTATCACACTTCCAGACTTCAAACTTTACTATAAGGCTACAGTAATCAAAACAGCCTGATATTGGTACAAGAACAGGCATATAGACCAATGGAACAGGATAGAGATTTTGGAAGTAAAGTCTCAATTTTTCAACCAACTCATCTTTGACAAAGTCTCCAACAACAACCACTGGGGAGAGGAGAACCTATTCGATAAATGGTGCTGGGAAAACTGGCTCACCACATGCGGAAGATTGAAACAGGACCCCTACCTATCACCATACACAAAAATTAACTCTAAATGTATCAAAGACCTGAATGTAAAACCTCAACTATAAGAATCTTAGAAAATGCAGGAGACACCAGTATGAAAATTGGAACTGGGAACTAATTCCTATTCAGAACCCTAAAGGCCAATACCTTAAGAAATAAAATAGACAAGTGGGACCTCATCAAATTAACGAGATTCTGCAAAGTGAAAGAAACCATCAAGAGAGCAGGGAGACAGCCCACAGAATGGGAAAACATATTTGCCAACTGTATATCGGACAAAGGCCTAACATCTAGGATCTACAAGGAACTCAAATGCGCTGAAAGGAAAAAAACAAACTGCCCCTTTAAAAAGTAGACCAAAGACATGAATAGACACTTCTCAAAAGAAGATATACGGGCAGCCAACAGACACATGAAAAAGTGCTCAGCCTCACTCGTCATCAGAGAAATGCAAATCAAAACCACCTTGAGATACCACCTAACCCCTAGAAGAATAGCCATCATTAATAAAACAAACAACAACAGATGCTGGTAAGAATGTGAAGAAAAAGGAATGCTTCTACACTGCTGGTGGGAATGCAAACTGGTGCAGCCTCTCTGAAAGACAGTGTGGCGATTCCTGAAAGAACTAGAAATTGACCTTCCTTATGATCCAGCAATCCCCTATTGGGAATATAACCAGAGGAACTCAAATCATTCTACCAAAAAGACACCTGCACATGTATGTTTATTGCAGCTCTATTTACAATAGCAAAAACATGGAAACAACCGTGTTGCCCACTGAAACTGGACTGGATAAAAAAATGTGGTACATATACACGATGGTATTATGCACCCATAAAGAAGGACAAATATATGGGCTTTGCAACAACTTGGATGGATTTGGAGTTGCTCATATTCAGTGATTTATCAAGAAAGAAAAAGCAGAGTTCCAGATGTTCTCACTCATAAGCGGACCTTGAACAATTATAATACTATAAGAAAGCAATTCACAGTAGTGGGAAACCGTCAGGGGAGGGGGGTGGGATTGGCAGTTGAAGGAAACTGCTAGGGGAGGGAGGGACATACCTCATCAACAAGGGTATCTGCATAATCAATATCTGTATACCTAAACCTGAAATGTACCCCACATCTTTATAATTAAAATTTAAAATAGCAATAATAGAAAAGTATGATTTCTACTGAATGTGTATTGCTTTTGCACCACTGTAAAGTTGAAAAATCATAAGTTTTGGACCATCTGCAGAAATACAAAGATGCATATACTCTATGTACTTAGCGACTTAATTATGAAGAGTATTCCCTACAGAAAGTCTCATACATGTGCACTAGTAATATCTAATGAAAGTTAATCTGATCATTTATTGCTTTCTTTTTTTTCCTTTTTTTCTGTTATAAAGATGTGGGGTACAATTCAGGGTTAGGTATACAAACATTGATTATGCAGGTACCCTTGTTGATGAGGTGTGCCCCTCTCTCCCCTAGCAGTTTCCCTCAACTGCCAATCCTACCCGTCCTCCCCTGACAGTTTCCCACTACTACCAATCTTTTTCTTATAGTATTACAATTGCACAAGGTCCACTTATGAGTCAGAACATATGGTATTCTGTTCTTTGTTTCTGTGGTAGATCACTGAGTGATAATTTATTGCTTTTAAAAAGTCGAAACTATCTGTTTCTTAATAGTTGACTGGATAAATATTTTACTATATTCCTATAATGGAAATCTAAGCACATGTAAGTGTTTTTCACAACAAAATTTTAAAGCAAAAAAAGAAAACCAGAAAAGAATGGCATATTTTGATGCAATTGAAGTAAGTTTCAAAATGCAACATAAGTTACAAAGATAAGTGTAAGGATGAAAATATATGAAGTGCATGGGAGTTTAATAATACTGCATTCAGGTTCCTCTGGGGAGAAGACAAGATGCAGGGCCTCAAGTGTACTGATAATATTTTACTTCTTGTT